TGTCCACATGCGTCCGCGCCACCAACTTCGGCACCCTCCTCAAACGTTTCGTGGCCTGACAGGGAGCTCCACCGAAGGCCCCAGTGGCGGTGTCAACATGCGTCCGCGCCGCCCATTCTGGTACGTTTTCCACATGTTTCGTGGCCCCATGAAAGGTGGCTCCACTGGAAGCTCCATGCGCGCTGTCCACATGCGTCCGCGCCACCCATCCCGACACACCCCTCACACGTGTCGTGGCCCCAGAGGGAGCTCCACCGAAGGCCCCAGTGGCCGTGTCCACATGCGTCCGCGCCACCCATGTCGGCACACCCGTTACACGGCTCGCGGCTTCATAGGGAGCTCCACCGAAGGCCCCAGTGGCGGTGTCCACATGCGCCCGCGCCACCCAGTGCGGCACACCTTTCACACGTTGCCCCACAGGGAGTTCCACCGAAACCCCAGTGGCGGTGTCAACATGCGACCCAGTTCGGCACACCATTCACACGTTCGTCGCGTCATAGGATGCCCCATCGAAGGCCCCAAGGGCGGTGTCCACATGCGTCAGCGCCGCGATTTTCGGCACACCCCTCACGTCTCGTGGCCCCATGCGGAGACCCACTGAAGGCCACAGTGGGTGTGTCCACATGCGACCGCGCCACCCATATTGGCACGAGCTCCACCGAAAGCCCCTGTGGTGGTGTCCACATGCGTCCGCGCCACCATTTTTGGCGCAGTTTCACACGGTTCGTGGCCCCATAGGGATCGCCACCGAAGAACATGTTCACATCTGCGACACTCGCAGTTGCAAAAGGTTGGGTCCTTCGCCAGGACCGTGGTCTCCACATCCCAAGCAGGGTTCTTGTTCGCCATGTCCAAAGTGGGAGGAGGAGGAGGAGGAGGAGGAGGAGGAGGAGGAGGAGGAGGAGGAGGAGGAGGAGGAGGAGGAGGAGTTATTTTTCTAACCAGCTGGTGGTGTTGGGTCCTCGTCTTGAGAGGAGGCAGCGGCCCGCGGTCCCTCACGCTTCTCCGCCCCCTCCCTCCCAGCCCTTTTGCCTCTGTCCCTTGCCTCGTCCTCGTCCTCCTCCTCCTCCTCCTCCTCCTCCTCCTCCTCCTCCTCCTCCTCCCTCCTCCTAAGGTTTGGTATCCCCATAAGGAACTCCACCGAAGACCCCAGTGGTGCCGTTCGCATGTGTCCCCCACACCCATGTCGGCACACCCTTCTCACGCTTCGTGGCCCCATAGGGAGCTCCACCGTAAACCCCAATGGTGCCGTTCGCATGCGTCCCCGCCTCCAATTTTCGCACACCCCTCACACGCTTCGTGGCCCCACAGGCAGCTCCACCGAATGCCCCAATGGTGCCGTTCGCATGCGTCCACGCCACCCGTGTTGACACACCCCTCACACGTTTCGTGGCTCGATAAGGAGCTCCACCGAAAGCCCCAGTGGCGGTGTCCAAAGTTCGGTACTCCTCTCACTCGTTTCGTCTCCCCATAGGGAGCTCCACCGAAAGCCCCATCGGCGATGTTTGCATGCCTCCGCGCCACCCATGTGCGCACATCACTCGCACGCTTCGTGGTCCCCTAAGGAACTTCACCGATTATGATACGCATAAGTGCGGTATTCACAACTGCATATGGTTGGGTCCTTCACTCTCCTGTCCCCACCCTTTCCTTCGCCGTCATAATCACCATTATCAGGCACATGCACACATTCACAACACCATTACCATCATTACCATTACCATCATTCCCAGCACTACCAGCAGTAGCTCGAGGAATCTGTGTACAACAACCCTTTGTTTGAGCCAATTGCGAGCAAGTGTTGAGCGGGAACCCTTCGTATCTAAAGGCTGCCGCCTCTGCCGCCGACACCATAGAGGACTCCCGTGCGGAGTCGCTGCATGTCTGTCCACGGTGGTTCCATGCTTTGCAAAGTGGGTGGCCTTGAAGAACTTCTGCTCGTAAGCTCCAGGAGACTGGTGGTGTCAGGCGTGGTGGGGGCGTGGTGGAGGGAACCCAGCGAGTTTTCTGCAGGGTGGGTGGCCCCTAAGAACCTATGCCCAGAGGCTCCAGGAGGCTGGCGGTGTCAGGTGTGGTGGGGGCGTGGTGGGGGGGTCCCGGCGAGGTTTTTGCAGGGTGGGTGACTCCTGAGAATTTCTGCCCATTGGCTCCAGGAAGCTAGCGGTGTTAGGCGTAGAGGCGGCGTGGTGGGGGGGTCCCGGCGAGGTTTTTGCAGGGTGGGTGGCCCAAACAAAATTATGCTGGCGGTGTTAAGCGTGGTGGGGGCATGGCGGGGGGGGGGAACGGCGAGGTTTCTGCAGGGTGGATGGCCCATACGAACTTACGCTCAGAAGCTCCAGGAGGCTGGCGGTGTCAGGCGTGGTGGGGGCGTGGTTGGGGGGCCACGGCCATGTATTTGCAGGACGGGAAGCCCCTAGGAACGCACGCTTAGAGTCTCCAGGAAGTTGCTGGTGGCAGGCGTGGCTGGGGCTTGGTGGAAGGGTCCCAGCGAGGTTTTCACGGCAATTGGCCAATAAAATATCTTGTGCCCAGTGGCTCCAGGAGGTTGGCGGTGTCTCGCGTGGTGGTGGCGTGGTGGGGAGGTCCCGGCGAGGTGTTCGCAGGGCTGGTGCCCCCTAAGATCTTATGCCCAGAGGCTCCAGGAGGCTGGCGGTGTCAGGTGGTGGGGGGGTCCCGGCGAGGTTTTTGCAGGAGCGGGTGGCCCTTCAGAACCTATGCCCAGAGTCTCCAGGAGGCTGGCGGCGTCAGGCGCGGTGACCTGCGGCGGCTTCGACATCTGCGCGGCTGGGCCCGCTCGCGGGAGGCGGCCGAGCCCCCCGGGAGGTTGACGCGCAGCGGCCCAGGCGGGCCAGACCGACCTCGACATCGCCACCGCCGCCAAGTACCCAGCGGCGGGCCCGCGAGGCCGGCCCCAGGGTTGCACCGCCAGGGGAGATGTCGTGCTGAATTCTGCCATCGCCGACTTCGCTTCGGTCAGCTGGCTCGGGGACACCCCGCGCCCGCGAACGCCATCGTTCCCCATCGTCCTCATCTCCGGTTGCCGTGATGGTCCCGACGCCGACTGCGGTTGCACCTTCATGCACATCGACTGGGCCTCGGTCACAGGTCTCACCGAACGCCTCGTCGCCCTCACCTTCGGCTGCTGCGACGGCGCTGACGCCGACCACGGTTGCGCCCTCTTGAATTTCGACTGGGCCTACGTCGCAGGTCTCGCCGAATCCAACGCCGACTGCGTCGGCCCCCAGGGGGCCGATTTCTCATTCGGGAAGTTCCCCCCCCGCCCAGCGGCGCCGTTTGGCAGATCAGCTTACCGACGACGAGCCGGGCGAGCTGGCTGGCGACTTGCCGCCCTTGCTGAAAGTTTGCGCCATCAGTTTTGCAGTTTTGTCCCGGGCCAGGCTCATCACCATCCTGGAATCCCCGGGCGCGGCGTCGGCGGGAGGCATTTGCGCGCAAGAGACGCGCCATCGTGACCGGCGACCGCCGCGGGGCTCCAGCCAAGTTCTGTAGGAGCATGGCTTTCTTCGGAGCCACCTCCTTCTCAGACTGCGCGAGGAGTGAATCGCGGCGTTGTCCGACAGGGAGGGCGCGACAATTTCTCGGGTTCAGCAGGGCATGTTCAAAGTAATTTGTGTTTGGTCGATGCCGTTTTGTCGCGGTTGCGCTTGCGGCGTGGGATGCTCTTCCCGACGCTCGGCCCATGGTTGTTACCCCATGTGTTTGGGCCCTTTGTGGCGACGGCCATGCTGGCGCGTGGGAAGCAGGCGGCGGTTTCCAACGTAACTTGTAAATCAAGCCATCGTGCACCTTCGCCATGAGAGATTGTTTGGGGCGCAACGGGCCCTCCAAGGCAAGCAACGTTGTTTTGGGGGCCGCGAGGCGTTTCGAGCGATGGCGCGGTCTCTGATCACAGCGTTCTGCTTGGCCCTATCAAGCTCTCTCGCTCCCAGTGTTCCTCTTGCGCGCCTTTTCTTTTCTTGTCCTCAGTCCTCCCATCTCGTTTCCGCGCGCGCTGGCGTCGACGCGGACGCCGCGCGCTCAAGCATGGAGGTGGCGAGAACGTCTCCAGAGTGTCGCTTGGTTTCGCGCTTCAAGGTCGCCCAGGCGGATGTCTAACGAGAGGCTGTGGGCAGGATGTCCCAAGCGAAACGTTTTTTTCACCTGCCCAGGTTGCCCAGGCAGATGTCTAGTATGAGGAGGCGGTGAGCACGTTTCGAGCGAAACGCTTGGTTTTCGCACGCCCAGGTCGCCCATGCGGATTTATAACTTGAGGATGCGTCGAGGATGTCTCGGGCGAGACGCTTTATGTCACGTTTCCAGGTCGCCCAGGCGGATATTTATGCGTTGATGATGTCTCGAGAGAAACGTTTTTTTTGCAGTAGAGCGCATCGCAATGCAGCCCCGCCCGTCCGCGGGGCGTCCCCTGGCGCGCTGGCGCGTCCGTTCGCGCGTCCCTTTTGCGACGTGCTGGCGTGACGTGCATTGGCGCGCCCCCTGGCGCGCCACTCGGCGCGGCACGTTTCCTGGCCCGTCCTCTGTCGCGTTTCCTGGCTCGTCCCAGGCGTTTCCCCTGCCCGTTCCGTGGCGCGCCCTTTGCAACGTCGCTTGGCATGACGCCCTTTGGGCGTCCCATGGCACGCGCCTTGGCACGTCCCGTGGCAGGTCCCTGACACGTTCAGGGCACGTCCCCTGATGCGTCCTCTGACACGCCCCCCAGCGCATTCCGTATTGCGCCCCTGGCACATCCTGTGGCGCGTCCGTGAGATTGTGCCCCGCGTCGTGTCGGTCTTTTCGGGAGTTGAGTCAGATTTTGAGGCCGAGTTGATTGACCGTCCCGCATTCTTGCATGTCAACTAGCTCTGGGGCAGCTACTATGCGCTCAGGCATCTCGAGCTTCAAATCCAGACCAGTTCGGTCAGGACTCGGATGCAAAGGAGGACCCGATCCCGCAACGTTGTAGAACACAACCGCGGCATGGCCCATCGCAATTCAGCGCGGCGCAGCACAGCGCAGCCCTTGGAGCCGTACATCAATACCCATACACTCAGCATTGTAATTGCCCGTCGCCGAATCAGGTGTCTTGAGAACGTTGCCATACCTCACGCTTCCCTATTTCTTTCCAGGTTCGTGGGTCGATCATGTCTTGGAGCCCTCTGGAGATGACTGGCGTTTTGGCTTCTCTGGGGGGCTTGCGGCGGCTTCCGGGGGGTCTCTTGCGAGCCTCGTGGAGGCATCTTGGAGGCCGCCGGGGGGCCTGTTGGGGCCTCCTGGGCATTTCTCGGGGCCGCGTCGCGGCACCTTCGGGGGCCTCGGGGGCCATTTGGGCCCATATTGGAGGGGGTCGACCAAAGGAGGGGCCGCAGCACATTGGCCCCCGTCTCCACCAACAGACAACGCGTGGCCAAAACATTTGTCAAGTCAGTGATTTTGGTTTTCTCGCCGAGATCTCTTGGCTCTTGGGGTGTGTCGGGCGCCTTCGAGGGGGGCGGGGCCCTGTGTCCTCTTGAGGGTATCTTGGGACCTTTTTTTAGGGCATCTTGGGGGCCTCTTGGGGCCTCCCGTGCGCTGTGGGGCCGTCTTGGGGCGCTCCTGGAAAACCTCGGGGGCCATCTTGGGGCCACCTCGGAGGAGATCGATCGGGGGGAGGTGGGAAGGGGGAGGGCCTTCTCGCCGAGGCCCCGTGGGGCGTCTTGGAAGCCTCTGGGTGGCCTCTTGGGGTTGTGTTGGGAGCGTCTTTGGAGCATCTTTGGTGCCCCTTGGGGGGCCTTGCGGGGCCTCCTGGGCACCTCTTGTGGTTGTCTTGGGGCGCCACGACGGCAGGTTGCCCACGACGCGCTTGCGTCGCTCTGCCGCGAGGCCCACCTTGCGTAGTAGAAACCATCCAGCTACGTCGTCCAGCGCGCTAAGATCCACCTCGTTCTCACGTAACTGTTGGAGACCGGTCTCGAATCGAATGAGTCAGCCCGTCATGCGTTCACCACGCCGGCGATGGTGATGAGTCGACTCGAAAAATGTCTCGAGAGTCTCGCTTTTCTGCACCAGCTTCTGCTGACCCAGGTTCGCCTCCAGGTGTTTGAGTACTTTCTCGACGCCAACCTGGTTCATGTTGCGCTTCTGCCCGCCCGCGTCTTCGATGTAGTCCGCAGCTGGCGGGTGCAGTTCTTCCTCCGTCATGTTGAGCGCAGCTGCCCTCGCCGTCCCCGTCAGCTTGACCACGCGCTTGGACGCGAGGCTCCGGGTGACCTCTAGGCTCTAAGTGAGTTTCCAAAGCTTTACCTTCTGCTTGTAGTCTCTCCACTTGGCGGGTCGCCTTACCACGTGAGAATAATCGACTGGCCGTAATTGTTATATTGATCCGTCATTGTCTACATACTTGGCGTTCTGGTAGGTTGTGACATTTCACACGTGGGGCCCGCTGAAGTTCTGAAAAAGCGTGAAATTGAACGAGAGGGCTTCGCTGAAGTCACTGGAGAAAGTGGATTGGAGCAAGAGGGCTTCGCTGAAGTCTTGGGAGAGCGTGAAATTGAAAGAGAGTGCTTCACTGAAGTCCTGGGAGAACTCGTCGGGCAGGGCGTCGCTGACGTCCGGGAGGTAGTTAATGAGGGCCTTGGGCTGGGCGTCGCTGACGTCCGAGAGGTAGGTAATGAGGGCGTTGGGCTGGGCGTCGCTGATGTCTGGGATAGACGTGCTGAGGGCGTTAGGCTGGGCGTCGCCGACGTCCCGGATAGAAGTGCTGCTGGCGTCGCTGACACCGGCGGAGTTGGGCATGGTAAGGATCAGGGCGAAGATCGCCCGCAGGACGCCGCTGGGTGTCGATTCCATGGCTCGCGACGGCGCCGTTGTGGCTGGTATATGGATGTGGCGCGCGGCACCAGACAGCTGAAACCACGCTCCGCTACCACTGTGATATGGAATGGCGCGCGGCGCCGGAGAGCTTTTCTCTCTCACGCGGTGAAACGAGGCGTAGCTCTCAGGCCACGGGCCCTACAATTATAGGGCCGAGATGGGCAGCGGGAGACAGGGTGAGAGCAGTAATAGGGAGAGAGAGGGACCGCGGAGGAAGCTCGGTGGAAGGGCGATCGACATGCTATGGAACCGACCGAAACCACAGCAAGGAGGCAGGAGGATCATGAGGCAGGGGGAAGGTGAGACACGATGGGGCGGAAGGAGGAGGCGAGAGGATGAGCAGGCACGCGGAGGGGGCAGGAGGAAGTTCCACGAAGAGAAGGGGGGGGAGGCAGGATGAGTAGGTACGGAGTAGATGCAGGAGGCAGAAGAAGGCCCCCCCGAACCACAGCACCCACACGCGCAGGGGCGACGATGACAAGCACCCTCACTCAGGCTACGGCGAATCTCGCGAGGGGTCCTGCAGTCGGAGTAGGGTTGTGTGCGGCGCCCCCGCGCAGGGACAAACTTTCATCCCCCTTCTCATCCCTTCCTCGCTCTCGTCACCATCACTACCAGATTCAGGAGGAAAAGAAACACACAGACACAATTAATCGTCGATTCCCCAGAAAATATTGGAAAATATGGGAAGTGGGGGGGAAGACAAAAACCCACAAAATATTGAAAAATATTGGGAATAGTTTTATTTGTGTGTATTTATTTGTGTGTCCCATGGCCCCTTCAATTATGGTGACAGGATGTATCACTCTCCCGCTTCTCCCCCCACTTTCCCGCTGGTCTGCCTGGCGTGATAAGGGGACGCATGCACAGCGCTTCCATACATCTGCATTGGCACCTTTGTTACACTGTTGTTCCGCCTCCTTCTCCCCCTCTCTTGTTCGTTTCCCTTGCTCTTCCCTCTTCTTCCTCCTTTCTGTGACGATGTTCAGACGTCGCGCGCAGTTGACGTCCCATCTGGTGATGTGCCGCGACACTGCTTTGAGGTCGCTGTTTCGGTCTGAGCGGTACAGGTCTGCATAGTGCAGCAGCGGCCTTCACCCTTTTTGATCGTGGTTGCGGATCTGATTTGCGATCGTTTACCATTTGGTTCGTGATGCGAACGGCACGCGTGCGAGCTAAAGGACCAGCACCGAAGCCTCATCTTGATGGTTGCGATGACAAAATCACACGGCTTGGCACAGCCACGGCATCAGCATAAAGTATTGCATTTGTCACCATATGTATCAGCATTCACGCATTCTCGCATTGAGGAGGTCCCAAGCGGGAGTAACCTTTGTGACTGAATTGCGAGGAGGTCTCAGGTGGGAGCCCCTCCCCATGGCGTCCCCTGTACATGCTCCTAGTCCGAGGGGGTCACCCAAACCTGTAACGTTCCCCAGCTTTGGGCTCCAAATGCCTGAGTCTGGGGGAAGTCTGGAGCGGGAGCTTATGTGGTAAGTGAGTCGTGAGGAAGACTCAAGCGGGAGCCTCTCCCGATAGGGGTCCTCGTTCGATGTGTATACGCGGAGGGCGGGAGTCTCGAGCAGGAGCCTCGCT